CAACTCCACTGGCTACCGATCTGCTACCGGGCTGAATTCAAAGTGCTGGCGTTGGCCTTTAAAGCCCTAAACGGTTCTGGCCCAAGCTACCTATCTGACCGCATCTCTGCCTATGAACCCACCAGGACTTTGAGATCTTCCGGGGAGACCCTGCTCTCGATCCCGCCTGCTTCTCAAGCTCGGCTGGTGGGGACGAGAGATAGGGCCTTCTCGGTGGTGGCTCCTCGGCTGTGGAACGCCCTTCCTACGGACATTAGACTAGCACCATCTCTAATGGTATTCCGCAAAAAGGTGAAGACCTGGATGTTTGTGCAGGCGTTTGAGTAATTTAGTGCAATCTGGTAATGGAACATAGGAATGGAACAATGGACGACGAACCTGGACTACGCTTGGATGATGAGAAGATTGGGTACGGTTGTTTTTCGTAATAATTGTGCATTGTAATTGCTTATTGGTAATTTATGGATAATGTGTTAAGTCAATTGTTATATGTTGCATGGAACCACTGCTGTTTCTACTGTTTTTACTGTTTGTGAACCGCTGTGAGTCGCCTTCGGGCTTGAGATACAGCGGTATATAAGCAAAGTAAATAAATAAATAATAAATAAATAAATTATCTGGGTCAGACTTTAAATCCATGGACCTTCCATCTTCCCTTTGGACGTACACAGAGGAAGGAGAAAACCTCACTGCTAATATTTCCACCCTTTGAAGATGCATTTGGGATTCTGTTGTGGATTCTGGGCCACTTATGCCCAAAAATAACTCTAAATTAGGAAAATCCCACCAAAACATAACAGAGTGCCAGAATGTAAGTCCATAATCATAGGTTTTTTAATGCTTGTGTGTTACTGTTGTTTGTGTATGTGATTTATATTAATTGCATTGTATTGATTGTTTTGTTATTGCTTTTGTTTATGTTTTATTGTTTTATTGATTGGCCTATTGGCCGTATCAAAACATTTAACACATAACACAATTGCTTTTGTTTATGATGTACTGCAGGCTTGGCCTCATGTAAGCCGCTCTGAGTCCCTTGGGGAGATGGTAGCAGGGTATAAATAAAGTTTTATTATTATTTACTAGCTATCCCCTGCCACGCGTTGCTATGGCCCAGTCTGGTGATCTGGAAAATAAAGTAATGAGAAAGTGTTGGTTTCTAATATATGTAATGTCTTGATGCTTGTGGGTAAACAGTATTTCTTGCTGTTTCTTTGTCAGTGTTGATGTGGAGATTGTCTGGTTTGCCTACTCTGGAACATGCAACATATCATTGTCCTTCTTTAGGGGTCCCTTTCAAATCTTTGATACTGCATCTGTCATATACATGTGTGTGTGTGTGTGAATGGCTGGGTAGCCCTTTGTCAAGAGGGCTTTGGTTATGTTTTCTTGCCCTGGTGAAGGGAGTTGGACTGGATGGCCTTAAGACAGCATTTCTCAACCTGGGAAGTCAAGACCCGGGGGGAGGGGGGTCACCAGGGGGGGTCAGAAAGGTCACCAAAGATCACCAGAAAACACAGCATTTTCTGTTGGTCATGGGGGCTCTGTGTGGGATGTTTGGCCCAATTCCATCGTTGGTGGGGTATGGAATGCTCTTGATTGTAGGTGAACTATAAATCCCAGTAACTACAACTCCCAAATGTCAAGATCTATTTCCCCCAAACTCCATCTGTGATCACATTTGGGCATATTGAGTATTTGTGCCAAGTTTGGTCCAGATCCATCATTGTTTGAGTCCACCGTGTTCTCTGGATGTGGGTGAACTACAACTCCCAAACTCAAGGTCAATGCCCACCAAACCCTTCCAGTATTTTCTGTTGGTCATGGGAGTTCTGTGTGCCAAGTTTGGTTCAATTCCATCGTTGATGGAGTTCAGAATGCGCTTTGATTGTAGGTGAACTGTAAATCCCAGCAACTACAACTCCCAAATGACCAAATCATAATATTTTGAGTGATGGCCACTCCTTGTGTTGTGGGACGTTTTGTTGCCAAATTTGGTGTGATGTTGTTCATTGGTTCTTTTGTTTTTAAGGTACTCATTATGCATAGAGCATTTATAGATAGATAGATAGATAGATAGATAGATAGATAGATAGATAGATAATTATTATTATTATTATTATTATTATTATTATTATTATTATTATTATTATTATTATTACCAGCAAAAAACTCACTGTGTGGTGTGTAGAAGTCCCAGGATGGCTTATTGAAGTCAAAAAGAAGTACATTCTGGATAGAAAAGGTTTGAAGCTTACTGAGCTTCATCTTCTAAAAAGAAAAAAAAGTAAAGATCCAAAAACTACATTTTCTTCCTCGCTCAGAGGCAAAAGCATACTCTCAGAAAGAGAGACCAAAGAAGTAAAGATGGTGCCCGAGACCGCATGGTTTCTTGCAGCAGAAGAAGTGCATTGCTATGTCATCAAAAGGGGAGGAGACAGGAGCTTCTGGAAAGAGAAGGAAAACCAGACTTTTCGAACACACACAGGAATGTGTTTGGGGGAAGGGATTCCCTAAGCCAGTGTTTCTCAAACTGGGGGTCAGGACCCCTGGGGGGGGGGGGGGGGGTGTCAGAGTGATCACCAAAGACCACCAGAAAACTCAGTATTTTCTGTTGGTCATGGAGTTCTGTGTGGGAAGTTTGGCTCAATTCTATCATTGGCGGTGTTCAGAAAGTTCTTTTGTTGTAGGTGAACTATAAATCCCAGCAACTACAACTCCCAGATGTCACGGTCTATTTTACCCAAACTCCACCACTGTTCGCATTTGGGCATATTGAGTATTCGTGCAACGTTTGGTCCAGATCCATCATTGTTTGAGTCCACAGTGCTCTCTGGACGTAGGTGAACTACAACTCCAAAATACAAGGTTAATGCCCACCAAACCCATCCTGTATTTTCTGTTGGTCATGGGAGTTCTTGTGCCAAGTCAGTTCAATTCCATTGTTGGTGGAGTTCAGAATGCTCCTTGATTGTAGGTGAACTATAAATCCCAGCAACTACAACTCCCAGGTGTCAAGGTCTATTTTGCCCAAACTCCACCACTGTTCACATTTGGGCATATTGAGTATTCGTGCCACGTTTGGTCCAGATCCATGATTGTTTGAGTAAAATTGATAAATAAGCATGTTGTTCCTTTTTAGGTATTGTTGTAAGCCTAGGATTGTGACTGTGTGCCTTCTAATTGTTTCCAACCTGTGATGACCCTAAGGTCAACTCATTACAGGGTTTACTGAGGCTGAGAGTGCGTCACTTGGCCTAGGTGACCTAGTGACTGTCCACACCTAAGCAGAGAATTGAACTCTGGTTTCCATAGTCATAGTTGCATCTACACTGTAGAATTAATGCAGTTTGACACTACTTTAACTGCCATGGAATCATAGAAACTATAGTTTTACAAGGTCTCTAGCCCTTTCTGCCAAAATGCTTTGTTGCCTAACAAAACTACAAATTTGTGGCAGCTAAAGTGGTATCAAGTTGCATTAATTCTACAGTGTAGGATCAGCCGTAGTCTGCTGCTCAAACCACATACCCTGGTGGTCCTCACAGGCCTGGGATAGTTTCTGAAACAGCAGTCAAACAACATTAACACTCATTCCTGTAAAAAAAAACATATATATTTCCAGGAATGGTAGACCTGAAGATTATCTTCAGCTGGAGGAATAAATACTGCTGTTTTCACTCATTCTTGGCTTTCCATTTGTTTTATTTTGCAAGTGTTTTAAAAAAAATTAAATGGTAAAATAGATGAATTAAACAAAAGCTGTGGCCCTGCCCCAACTATAATGAATACTTCACATGAGTGATTCCATCTCAGGCAGAAAATATTAATTTTTGTTTTTAAATAAAATTCTCTCAAACATTTTACATTATTCTTAAACCAATAAATCCAAAAATATAAAGGATGTCCCTGAGCCTTTGGCATTGAAAGGCAGAAAAGTACTATAAAACCGAGGAACAACACAAAACGAAATTGGTTAAGCTCTTCTGACTGTGACTAACATCCCCATCTGCTTCTATGAACATAATAATAATAATAATAATAATAATAATAATAATAATAAGAGTTTAATTATATTCCACCCTATCACCCCAAGGGGACTCAGGGCAGATCACAGTACACATACACAGCAAACATTCAATGCCATTTTGGATAGACCAGACAGAGACAGACAGAAAAGATAAGAGGTATGTTGTGTCGACGTCCAGCTTTTTGGCATCTTGGAGGTTGTGCTCGAATCTAGCCACACGGGGGTGCTGTCACTCCATTCTCTATGACAAAGAGCCATCAGGACTTCCTCCTTTCTTTTGGTTGCCAAGCATTTTCTGATCTTTATGGTGTTGTAAAATACCTCCCCTGCTTGTTTTAGCGGTACCTAATTTCTCTACTTACAGCTCAAGCTGTTTTCAAACTGCTTTGGTCAACAGTAAGCTGGGCTGACAGTTGGGATCTCACGCCAACCTGGCAAACTGGCAACCTTTCTGTTGGTAGATCGTATCATTGCTGGTGATTTACCAGCTGTGCTAAAGCCCAGCCCTTCATCACTAGGAAAGTTTCAGGCAGCTTGGTCTTTGAGCCCTGCTCATCTCCTGCCTTTAACCTTGTGAACAATAGGGTTCTGGAACCTCCAGATATCTTTCTAAATTGGCTAAAGTGCCATCATGACTATATTTGTTATTGACTCAGTACTATGAAAGTCAACTAAAACTGGGGAAAGTGTATCCCCATTGATGTCTCCTAACTACCCCGAACAATATTTCATCCTAAATGTGTTATGGAAGCAGCTCTTGCATCCCATAAGTTTAGATGTCATCCCCGTCATCTCAAAAATAAGCTATTCTGTGCCACAGCTTTGCATTGACAACATACTTTGGACTGTGATGATAGTGCACAGCAGAGCTAACGCAGCAATAATAATTTCCATTTGCTGTGTGGTTAGACAGAAATTTCTCCAAGGATTAACCTAGTAACAATAAACAACAACACAACATTATTAGCTCTCTTAGACCCAGGTATTATTTTTCAAGGAAATCTCAGGTCTTTTGCAAAGGAACACTTTGCTACTACACAGAAGTATGAATGCACAAATCCCAAGGCATTAGTTGACTGATCTTCAGCGGACATTCATTTCTGCTTCCTAGAAGCTCACAGATCTCATCCATAGGTCTTGCACAGGCTTTGAGGCTTTTTGTCAGCTCCCGGACGATTGCCTCCAGCATAATATTGCTTTCTCTGGTGTACTTTTTTGTGTACTCTGGGACCAGAAAACTTTTTTGGGAGACACAGAGGACAGAAGAATACAAAGTGTTGCAAGCCTTTTTCTCAGCTGGCAGTAGGATAGGGTCTGATGGGTCCTGTCTCCGGAGTAAGAAGTCAAGGCAGTTCATTATCTCCCGCATCAGATTGTGACTGGTGATTGCAATCTCCTTCACTCTTCTCACTTCTCTGGTATTAGAGCACTCCGTGAAGATGTTAGAAGATATTGTGAAAGTTCCTGCTGCTGCTGTGAGCCCTAACCCCACACTGGCCAAAAAAGAGTACCCCAAAGTAAAAGGGCTTAAGGACAGTCCCACAAGGGCTGCGAGGCTTCCTGCTACATTTATGGTGCTCCCAGTGATATTGATGTTCACAAAGTTTTCGTATCGTTTCTTGATCCTCTGGGAGATCTTGTTGAGGTTCTTAATTTGGTTCTGTAGCTGGTTTCTCTGGCCCAGCAGCATGACATAAAAGTGTTGTGTAGGATCCAAACTGTGGGGACAAATAGTGTCGTCCATAACCTTGTAGAAGAAAAGAAGACCATTTAGAAAAGAAGTGGCGTAGTCTGTCAAAGAGGATATCAATAGCAGTTCTACAGTTTACATTCATATAGCTTGATAAGATTATCACCACTCTAAGCAGCACCAAAGGCTCGTTTAATGTGCTTGTGTGAATATTCTGTACTTTTATTCTAATAGCTATGTTTTAAATGCTTTTAAATTGGTTTATGTTTCAGTTGTATAAAGATAAAGGTAAAGGTTTCCCCTGACATTAAGTCTAGTTATGTCTGACTCTGGGAGGGGTGGTGCTCATCTCCATTTCTAAGCCAAAGAGCCAGCATTGTCCGTAGACACTTCCAAGGTCATATGGCCAGCATGACTGCATGGAGCACCATTGCCTTTCTGCTGAAGTGATTCCTATTGATCTACTCCAAAGGTTCTCAACTTGGGGTCCCCAGACGTTTTTGGCCTTCAACTCCCAGAGATCCTAACAGCTGGTAAACTGGATGGGATTTCTGGGAGTTGTAGACCAAAAATATCTGGGGACCCCAGGTTGAGAACCACTGATCTACTCACATATGCATGTTTTCAAACTGCTATGTTGTCAGAAGCTGGGACTAACAGTGGGAGCTCACCTTGCTCCCTGGATTTGAACCATCAACCTTTCTGTCATAGCTATGTTTAAAATGCTTTTAAACTGGTTTATATTACAACTGTACTTTGCTCTAGTTTATGGTGTGAACTGCCTTAGGTCTCATATTGAGAGAAAATAGGATATATCAATAAAACAATGAATGAAGAGCATGGCTGTCCTTCTGGAAATGGTCCCAAAGACTTCCTTCTAATGGGAAACTGTACAAGTAACTCCTGTAGCTCCCATCGATAGTCACTTGCACTGTTTATGTAGTTGGGAGATGTTAAGAAGGTAGTTGATTTTCATGTGCAGTGTATGTATATATTTACCTCATCTATAGGATAAGAAAGGCCATTAGAATTTCCTCTTCTCCAATTCATCCCAGATATCATAGACAGTTTCAGGCCACCCAATGGAAGCAGGAATTCAAATGTCCAGGTTCAGCTTCAGGATTACTGTTGATCATGCCCTGTGCCAGTAACTTCCCACATAGCCCCCTTTTACTTTGACTTAAAAAGGGGAAGCCATTGTGACTTAAGGATCCCAGTTATCATGCATGATGTCAGAGCTGCCCTCTTATGAGGAAAAGGTGACCTGACTTCTTCATGGGGTAGATTGGAAGGTGCCGCTTAGGGCCACCTAGTAGAAAACGGAGAGCTCTGAGCCACAGAGTTCACATGAGTGACAATTGCAGGGGAGATTTTCCAGGCAAACTGTGCTTCTTCTTCATTTAGCAAAGAGTGGAGTAAAAGTCACTTGAATTTTATGCATCAGCCAAACCGTTTTAGGCTAGTCCAGTATACAATACCTTCCCAGCATCTTAACACTTTGGACAGATTGGACTACTATTCCCATCATCCAATACTGGGATTGCAGATTAGCACATCTAGGAGGCTTCGGTTTGGTGAAAGTTGCTTTCGGGTGTTTGTTTTTTTTAAGATTAAGTTTATTTGACAGTTGTTAAAACCCCCTCTCCAACACCCTGGAATAGTCAACAAATGTCTATTTTTTATCACTGTTTAAGTAAAGCTGTAGTCCTTAGTTACTCTGTGTAGCCAACAGACTTGCATTAGATAGTTGTGCTGCTTTCCACAGAAGCACGTGGCAAAGGCTGAACTTCCCAATACTCGAATGCCCTACTTCTTTCAGAAGGCTTTCCCCAGACTTTCATAGACTCTCATACATATCAAAATACATTTAGGTGCTTTTAGACTTCTGTGATTTTTCTTCAGTAGTGGTTTGCTTTATTGTGTAATGCGATCATTTTACTTCCTGCTTCCGATTTTAAAGTAAAGGTAAAGATTTCCCCTGACATTAAGTCTAGTCGTGCCCTACTCTGGAGGGTGGTGCTCATCTCAATTTCTAACCGAAGAGCCAGTATTGTCCGTAGACACCTCCAAGGTCATGTGGCCGGCATGACTGTATGGAACGCCATTACGTTCCTGCTGAAATGGTACCTATTGATTTGCATGTTTTTGAACTGCTAGGTTGGCAGAAGCTGGGGCTAACAGCAGGATCTCACCCTGCTCCCTGTATTCAAACTACCAATGTTTTGGTCAGCAAGTTCAGCAGCTCAGCAGTTTAACCTGCTGCACCACCGAGGGCTTGTAGTCTATGTAGTATTTTCAATGTAATCTTAGTACAGTTTGACACCATTTTAACTACCATGCCTCAATGCTAGCAAATCATGGGATGTGTAGTTTTACAAGTTCTGTAATCTATTTATTTATTTATTTATTATTTATTTGGTGCATTTGTTGACCGCCGCTCTCAGCCCTAGGGCGACTCGCGGCGGTGTACAACATATAAAAGGCAAATTACAAAAGGCAATACAAAACAGCATATCCACAATATAACAATTATATAATTACACTAAATGATCCGCTCCGTCTCATAGTAGAATCATAGCCAAGCTCATAATCCAAATTCCGTTCCAGTTGTCTTGCCAAAACTAATTGTAGCATTTAATTAAATGCCTGCTCGAATAGCCATGTCTTTAAGCCTTTACGAAAAGACATCAGGGAGGGCGCCTGTCTGATGTCTACAGGGAGAGTGTTCCACAGCCGGGGGGCCACCACCGAAAAGGCCCTCTCTCTCGTCCCCACCAGGCGTGCCTGTGAGGCAGGCGGGATCGAGAGAAGGGCCTCCCCGGACGATCTTAAGGCCCTCGTGGGCTCGTAGGCCAAGATGCGGTCTGACAGGTATTTTGGGCCGGAACCGTTTAGGGCTTTGTAGGCTAACACCAGCACCTTGAATTGGGCCCGGTAGCAGGTCGGCAGCCAATGGAGCTGGTACAACAAGGGCGTTGTGTGCTCCCTGCGTCCCGCTCCAGTTAGTAACATGGCTGCCGCGCGCTGGACTAGCTGAAGCTTCCGGGCCGTCTTCAAGGGCAGCCCCACGTAGAGAGCGTTGCAGTAGTCAAGGCGGGATGTGACCAGAGCGTGTACCACCGTGGCCAAGTCAGACTTCCCGAAGTACGGGCGCAGCTGGCGCACGAGCCTAAGCTGTGCAAATGCTCCCCTGGTCACCGCTGAAACCTGGGGATCCAGGCTCAAAGATGAATCCAGGGTCACACCCAAGCTGCGAACCTGCGCCTTCAGGGGAGTGCGACCCCGTCCAGCACAGGCTGTAACCCTATACCCTGTTCGGCCTTGCGACTGACCAGGAGTACCTCTGTCTTGTCTGGATTTAATCTCAGTTTGTTCGCCCTCATCCAGACCATTACAGCGGCCAGGCACCGGTTCAGGACCTCGACAGCCTCCTTAGTAGCAGGTGGAAAGGAGTGACAGAGTTGGACATCATCTGCGTACAGATGACACCGCACCCCGAAACTCCGGATGATCTCACCCAGCGGCTTCATGTAGATATTAAACAGCATGGGGGACAGTATAGAACCCTGTGGGACACCACAGGTCAAAGGCTGTGGTGTAGAACAGGAGTCCCCCCATAACACCTTCTGGGTGCGACCCTCCAGAAATGACTGGAGCCACTGCAGAGCAGTGCCCCCAAGGCCCATTTCCGCAAGGCGCCCCAGAAGGATACCGTGGTCGACGGTATCGAAGGCCGCTGAGAGGTCCAGGAGCACCAACAGGGACACACTCCCCCTGTCTAGCTCCCGGCGCAGAGCATCCACTAAGGCGACCAAGACCGTCTCGGTTCCATGTCCCGGTCTGAAACCAGACTGTGCCGGATCCAGAATATCCGTGTCTCTCAAGAATACCTGGAGTTGTGAGGCCACCACGCTTTCCATGACTTTGCCCAAAAAGGGGAGATTGGAAACAGGCCAAAAGTTGTCAAATTTGGTGGGGTCCAGTGATGGTTTCTTCAACAGCGGTTTTATAATTGCTTGTTTTAAGCACGCTGGAATCCTGCCTTCCCGAAGGGAGGCATTAACCACCACCGTTACCCACTCAGCCAATCCCCCTCTGGCCTCCTTCAGAAGCCAGGATGGGCAGGGGTCTAGGATGGACGTGGTGGGCCTCATTCCTCCAAGTATCTTGTCCACATCCTCGGGTTTCACAAACTGAAAAGAATCCATCAAAATAGGACAAGCAGGTGCTCTTGTCACATCCTCAGAGACTGCATTTAACGCGGCGTCCAGTCCAGAGCGGATCAAGGCGACTTTGTCTGCGAAGAACCGAGCAAATGCTTCACAGCGCGTGGCCGAATTGTCAGGGCTCCCGCCTGAAATGGCGGGAGTTAATAGACCTCTGACAATCCGAAACAACTCCGCCGGACGGTTCCTTGCAGACGCAATAGTGGCCGCAAAGAAAGTTTTCTTTGCGGCTTTTATTGCCACGGCATATGCCCTTAAAAAGGACACAAACCGTGCTCGATTTGACTCGCTCGGGTCCGAACGCCACACGCTCTCTAGTTCCCTCTTCCTTCGCTTCATCACTGCCAGCTCCTCAGTAAACCAAGGAGCTGGTTTAGCTCGGCTACTTGAGAGGGGACGTTCCGGAGCGATCACGTCGATTGCCCTGGCCATCTCCCCATTCCAGAGAGCGACCAAGGCCTCGACATGGTCACCTACCGAGGTGGCGGGAAAATCCCCAAGAGCCGTCAGGAATCCATTCGGATCCATAAGCCTCCTGGGGCGGACCATCTTAATGGGTCCTCCACCTTTGCAGAGGTTAGGGGGCGCAGTGAGCCTAAATCTGATCAGGAAGTGGTCAGTCCATGGCAACGGAGAGATGGACAACTCCTCCACACCGCCACCCTGCTCCCATCCCTGGCAGAAAACCAAGTCCAATGTATGTCCAGCACAGTGGGTGGGGCCAGATATTTGTTGGGACAGCCCCATGGTTGCCATGGCCGACATGAAGTCCTGAGCCGCTCCAGTGAGGGTCGCCTCGGCGTGGATATTGAAGTCTCCCAGCACAAGAAGCCGTGAAGACTCCAACGCCAGGCTCGAGACTACCCCCGCTAGCTCAGGTAGGGAGACTGTAGTGCAGCGAGGTGGACGGTACACTAGCAGAATCCCTATTCTGTCCCGGTCACCCACCCTCAG